AGTCCAGGGGGGCCCCAGTAAAGTCCAGGGGGGGACCCAATAAAGCTCAGGGGGGCCCCAATAAAGCCTGGGGGGATGTCAATAAAGTCCAGGGAGCCCCCAGTAAAGCCCAGGGGGACCCCAGTAAAGCCCAGTGGGACCCAGTAAAGTCCAGGGGGCCCCAGTGAAGCCCAGGGGGGGCTGAGCCCCCCAGGTGCCCGAGGAGGGGACACTGCTGTCCGTGACCCCTTTATGTGGTGACAAACTGCCCAAAATAGCATCGAGCTGCTGCCCTCCCAGTGCCAGGACCCGCCCAAACTGTGCCCAGCTCAGGGTGGAACCCCCCGATCTCCCCATTTTCACTCATTTTTGACACATCCGAGAGAGGATGACAACAGCAGTGACATCACTGACTCCCCCAGCACTAAGGCACCCCAAGAACTGTGTCCACATCCAGTCAGACCCACAATGTCCCCGATTTCCCAATCTTTTCATGTGTCCGAGGGATGATGGCATCGGCAGTGACACCGCTGACCCCTCCAGGGCCGGCCATCCCCCAAGCTCTGCCCCCAGCAGGGTGGGGCCCCTGATTTGCCCATTCCCAGTGATTTGCGACACATCCGAGAGAACGTGATGTCAGCAGTGACGTCACAGAAATCCCCAGAGCTGAGCACAACCCCTGAAATTGTTCATTTCCACTAATTATCGACACGGGAAGGAGATGACGTGGAAGTGACGTCACATGCACCGCCCACGCCGAGGGGATGACGTCAGCAACGACACCACACACCCCATAACATACGAATTGAATTGAAAGGAAGTGACGTAAAGCGATATCACCCAATCGCCTTTCACACCGAGGGAATGACGTCAGCAGTGACATCACAGAAAGCCCAGAAGCACCGCAGGCTATCTTTTGAGTTTCGGCAGATAATAAAGTGACGTCACGGTGACGTCAGGACCCCCCGGCAGTCAGATGGGACTGTGCCATGTCGTAACGCAGGGCGCACACGTCACGCAGCCGCGTGCCGCTCCCATTCATCATCTCTATGAACCGGAAGGATCGGGGCAGCCATTCCCGCGCCCGCTCCTAGAGCCGCGCCACTGCTCTGCCGGTCACGGCGACCTCGCTGTCCCCACCAGTGCTCACGGCCCTTTGTTTTATCCTCTCTGAGCCGTTCTTTCCGTGCCTTCTGTGCCCCGGTTCCCGCTCTCTCCGCCCCGCACGGCCGCTCTGTCCCGCACCGCGCTCGTTAATTAGGGATGCTAATTTATTCACGCAAAGCCACGCCCCCTCCCTCCGCCATCGGCTTTACGGCAATCAGTGCGGGGATTTTGCGACAGTTGTTGCGCGTGGTGCGGCTGGCGGCGGCGCGGGGCCGGCGCTGCTCGGGGGTCTCTGGGGGGGTCTTGGGGCTGCTCGGGGGTCTCTGAGGTGTCCGGGGGTCTCTGAGGGGGTCTTGGGGCTGCTCGGGGGTCTCTGAGGTGTCCGGGGGTCTCTGAGGGGGTCTTGGGGCTGCTCGGGGGTCTCTGAGGTGTCCTGGGGGTCTCTGAGGGGTCGTGAGGGTGCCTGAGGTGTCCCGGAGGTGTTCGGGGGCGTCCCGGGGGTGTCCCGCGGCTCCCCGCCCGCAGCCATGTGTCCGTAGCGGAGTTCCAGGCCGGGGAGGTCCGGCCGGGGCCGGTGTCAGGCCATGGCCGGGAGCAGCCCGAGCCCCGAGCGGGCTCCCGGGGCAGTCCCGGCGGAGCAGGCGCTGCTGCTGGCGCTGTCCGAGCGGCCCGAAGCGCTCCGGGAGCTGGGCGCGCTGCTGCGGCCGGCGGATCCGCGTTCCCTGCTGGGCTCGGCGGCGCTGGGCGAGCTGGCGGCGGCTCTGGGCGAGCGGGGGGCTCCGCCGCGCCGGGAGCAGGACGGGGCCGAGCCCCCCGGGCAGGACGCGGCGCTGGCCGAGCGGGCGGAGAGCGTCGGGGCCGCGTTCCTGCTGCTCCTGCAGAAGCTGGAAGCTGCCCGGAGCCAGCGGGAGCTGGGCACGGCCGCGGTGGGGCCCGGCCTGCGGCGGCTGCTGGGACACGCGTTCATCTTCGCCGTCACGCACAAAGAGCAGAGGCCCTGGAGCACGGCGGGGACTCGGGCGGTGGCTCAAGAGCTGCTGGAGAGGCTGCTCCGGGTTGAGGGCTGCGGCTCCGTGGAGGAGTTCCTGAGGGGAAAGGAAGGGGAAGAGGAAGGAAGATTCGGAGTGGTGATGGGGCTCCTGAAGCAGGAGTTAACCAAGTGAGTGCAGCGTGTTTGGAGGGTCTCTGTAGGAAATACTGGGAAATGGAGATGAGGCTCAAGAGATGATAAACATGAAACCAGGAGCTTTACAAATGCCCAGCAGCGGAAGGTGCTGTGGAATGGTTGTCAGAGTTTGCTGCCAGCTGAGAGCCTCGAGTGCATGGGAAACGAGCACTGTGTGTTCCCTGAGCTGTGTCTGTCTCTCCAGAGACACCTGGAAGCGTAACCCTGCCTCCAAAGACGTGTTCTCCTGGGCTCTGCTCCGCGTCAGCCGGCCCTGGCTGTGCCCGCACCTGGAGCGGGTCCTGCCGCCCGCGCTGCTCCTCTCCGATGACTTCCAGGAGGAGAACAAAGTGCTGGGAGTGCGCTGCCTGCACCACATCGTCCTCAACGTGGTGAGGGAGGGAGGGCTTGGAGCGCTTTGCCAGGGTTGTGTGAAGGGAGGGTCAGCCACGGAATGTCCTGGGCTGCAAGGGACCCACAGGGATCAGAGTCCTGCGCTGGCCCTGCTCAGACACCCCAAAGATCTCATCCATGGAGATTTTCTGGCAGCCTCGAGGCTGTGCCCAGTCCCTGGGGAGCCTGGGCAGTGCCTGCACCTTCTGGGGAAAGCACCTTTCCCTAAAATCCAACCTGACCCTGCCCTGGCACAGCTCCAGCCATTCCCTGGTGTGGGTCAGGTTCCTAACCTCTGTTCCTGGTGTGTGGCTGGGTTTAACCTGCACGTCCAGCAGCTCCTCACACTTCCCAGGCTTTGGGAAGGGTGAGCTTTCCTTAGGTTTTTACTCTGCCCAGGAGTAACGTCCTACTCTCTGTTGTTGCAGCCAGGAGCGGATCTGTGCCAGTTCAACAGGGCCCAGGTGGTGTTCCACGCCCTCTACAACCACCTGTACTCACGGGAGGCCCCTCTCATCCAGGTAGGACGGCTGCACTTGGGTTTCAGGTGCCTTGGGGCAGCAGCAGCCCCTCAGCTTAAAGCAGGAGGCTGAGCCTGTTCCCTGTGGCAGTCCTGTAAAGCAACTCAGTAGATTCCAGGAAAATAGCACAGAGGGAGGAGCTCTTGCCTCCTGCCCCATTCCAGGTGGGCAGGGAAGGGGTTTGAAGCACTGTGGGTGGCCACAGGGTTGGGGTTTGTTGTTTTTTGGAGAGCAGGAGCTCACATTCCCCATGTATCCCCAAACCAGGCAGTGCTGCTGTGCCTGCTGGACCTGCTGCCTATCCTGGAGCGATGCCAGCGGCAGCAGGGCCACGGCAGAGCCACAGCCCCCTGGGACCAGGTGCTGCAGCTGGTGCTGACCCACATGGAGGCCGAGTATCGGCTGGCGCTGCGCAGGGTCTACGCAGGGACCCTACCCACCTTCGTCACCAGGTGAGACAGAGGGGACAGGAGCACCTGAGGGGCTGGGAGCAGTTCCTGGGGTCCTTCCCGAGGGGCTGGGAGCTGTGCCTGGGGTCCTTCCTGAGGGGCTGGGAGCTGTACCTGGGGCCCTGCCCACCTTCCCAAGGGGCTGGGAGCTGCACCTGGGGCCCTGCCCACCTTCCCGAGGGGTTGGGAGCTGTTCCTGGGGCCCTGCCCACCTTCCCAAGGGGTTGGGAGCTGTTCCTGGGGCCCTGTCCATCTTCCTGAGGAGGAGAGAGCACAGGGATGGACCCGCCCTTGGTATCCAAGGGCATGCTCCCTCCTCAGGGTGTGTTTTTGGGATCCAGGGGTATCTACCCTCCCTCCTCAGGGTGTGTTTGTGCCTCCAGACTCGGCATCCTCATCGTGAGGCACCTGAAGAGGCTGGAGCGAGTCATCCTGGGCTACCTGGAGGTGTCTGATGGCCCCGAGGAGGAGGCCAGACTGGGAATCCTGGAGACTCTGCAGTGCACCATAGAGCACGCCTGGCCCAGGTACCTCTGGGGGGATTACACACAGAAAAGCTGTCCTGGCACGAATGCTTCATTCCAATCCTGAGTGTTTCCACTTTAAGGCCCAAAGTTACTTTTTCTTGAGGAAAAGGCCCTGAAATCCTAAGGGAGAATCTGCCCCAGGAACTGCTCGCTGGCATTTCTCAAAAACCTGGCTCCAAAACAAAGCTGGGTCCTCATTTTGTTCCTACTTGTGCTTGTTCCAAAAGCACAAATTAAATCACTGTGGGGTAAGCCCTGTGCTGTGGACTGGGCTGGGTCCATTCCCAACGGCATCCCGAGGCTCCTGCGTGTCCAGGGCTGTCCTGGCACCAGTCCTGCCCCACAGCAGCCCCAGGCTGTGCTGTCCCCTGGCTCGGGCAGGCTTTGGGATGAGGCGTTTCCCTTTGCAGGATGCCCTGCAGGCTCCCCGTGCTCCTCAAGGCCCTGCTGAGGCTGCTCTGGGACGTTCACACGGAGCGGGGCCCAACACCCGAGCCCGTCAGAGCTGCCCTGCTCCACAGGGCCACCCAGTGCCTCATCCTGCTGGATCGCTGCTCCCAGGGCCAGGTGAAGGTGAGGCAGCTCCCCCTCAGTCCAGCAGGATTCTGCATTTCCCCCATCCCATATGGGGGATTGATGGGGGTCAGCCTGTGCTGGGCTCCGCAGGGGAGGGTGGGTGACACCACAGCGGAGCGCCAGGGCACTGGGAACGCTGCTGTTCCCCTGCAGGTGCTGCTGGAAGGGGTGCACAGCAGCTGCGAGGAGAACCGCGTGCGGGAATGCCTCAGGAAGGTGCAGGAGAGCACCTGAGGTGCCTGACACTGCTCACCCCCTTTTATACAATAAAACTTGTATTTATTGAAGAGTTCTGTCGTTCTCGTCCCACCTGTGAGCCCCACACCTCCCCCAGACACATCCAGGTGCCCCCAGGGCCACGGGAGGTTCCTCCAGCCTCGCAGGGAGCAGCAGAGCTCCCCAGGCCAGTCTGGGCTGAGCTTTTGTGGTTGCAGAGGAGGTGGGGATGTTCCTTTGGGCCTCACCCAGTCGTACAAACTCACTGCAACCACTGGGCTCGGGACACAAACCCCGCTGCTGCTGCTGCTGCAGAAAATGAGTGGAGTATGAAACCAGCAGTTCCTGAGGGTCCTGTGAGGGGTGGAGGTGGAGTCAGGCCCTGGTGACACATCTGGAGTTGTCAGTCCGTACAAAATGGGATCAGGGGGCCTCAGGCTGCTTTTGTCTTGCTGCTTGGCTCTGTTTCCCCTTCATACTCTATCTCAATGTAGCGACGTTTTCTCCTGGCTGGGCCCTTCAGGGGTGTTTTCCCTTTAGATTTGGAGTGGGAAGCTTTCTCCTCCACTTCTTCCTCCTCTTCCTGCTCCTCTTCACTGCTTGTCTCCAACTTATCCATGTCCTGAGGAAGAATTCAGTGACCAGAGTGATGTCAGAGCAGGTTGTGTAACTAAACCTCCTCTTTCCCCAAAATCACCTCGATCCCATTCCACAGTCCCTGGCTCCAGAGGAGCTGGGCTGGGGTCCCACTGTACAATTCTCTGCTACAGCTCTGATTTTGCTGCCCCAGAGACACCTGAGGGTGGAGGTGCCCAAGCAGCTCAGCCTCACTTTGTACCTGGTGCTTCACCCACCTCAAAGTCGCTGAGCTCGCTCTCCTCTGCTTCCACAAACTCCCTTCTGTCCACGTCCTGCAAGCAAAGCAGCACAGGCAGGGACTGAGCTGTGTCATGGAGCAGCCACCAAGGCCACCACGAGGTTTTTCTGAGCTGTCCTGAGCGCTCCTCAGCCAGCAGGAAAGGAGCAGCCCAGCTCAGCACCACGGCAGGGCTGGAAGCTTTACCTCATCGTCATCATCATCCTCTTCCCTCTCTGCATCCGACTCGCTCTCGCTCTCTGCATCTTGCTGTTGGAGGGCCTTGTCAAAGGCGTGGATGGGGAAGTTGTAAATGTCTCCATACTGAAAAGGAAATTGGGATTTTCCATAAGGAGAAAGATGGACTTTGGGCTGGGGGGCACTGAAAGGCTGCACGGGGCAGCCTCAGACTGAGGTGTGGATCAGCCCCTTCCCAACTCTGACCCCGCGCTCCTGCAGAGAAGATGAGGGGAGCCCTCGTGTTTTGGGGCTCCCTGTGCAGAGAGCAGAGGGGAGCCCTCGTGTTTTGGGGCTCCCTGTGCAGAGAGCAGAGGGGAGCCCTCATGTTTTGCGGCTCCCTGTGCAGAGAGCAGAGGGGAGCCCTCGTGTTTTGGGGCTGCCCGTGTTTTGGGGAGCCAGGCACTCCCCACGCCCCCAGGGGCAGCAGTGCGAGCTCTGTGTGAGCCTCACCGTGTCCTGCTTCAGCCTTTCCAGCAGCTCCTTCTCGATGGCGTTGTCCAGCTGGGCAGCAATCAGGGCTTTCTCCTAGGGAACACAGAGCAGCTGCGTGAGGCCGAGGGGCAGCGGGGACAGCAGCGGTGGCACCAGGTGACATCAGGTGACACGGGGCCATCGGTACCTCTCGCCTGTTCTCGCGCCTCTCGATCTTCCTGCGCAGCGGCACGAGCTTCCTCCTGCAGGGAACAGGCACTGGGAATGTCACAGCCTCCAGCAGCTGCAGCGTTCCCAGCGTGTGGAATGGCCTGAGGTTTGGGTGCCTCAGGGTAAGAAGGATCTAAAGCTGTTGGAGAGCGTCCAGAGGATGGGGAAAGGTCTGGAGGGGCCACAGGAGGAGCAGTTCCTCCCGAGGGACAGCTCTGATCCCTGCTCTGTGACAGGGACAGGAGCAGGGAATGGCTGGAGCTGTGCCAGGGCAGGGTCAGGTTGGATTTTAGGGGAAGATTCCTCCCCCAGCGGGTGCTGGCACTGCCCAGGCTCCCCAGGGAATGGGCACGGCCCCGAGGCTGCCAGAGCTCCCAGCAGGGGCTGTTAGGGTGTCTGTGCAGGGCCAGGATTTGGGATCAGTGATCCCTGTGGGTCCCTTCCAGCACAGGACATTCCCTCAGTGCATTTATACACTGGATTCCTGCAGCTCTTCCAGGCCAGATCCACCTGAAACCCCTCAGGAAAACGGGGACCAGCTCTGTGTCCCAGCAGTGACAGCACTCAGCAGAGGGGCTCCAGAAGCCAGCAGTGGTCACTTGCATGGTCACTCCCCGTGTCCCTTACTGTCTCTTGAGGGTCAGCTTGCGGATGCGGATCAGGTACTGCGTGATCTTGGTGAACCTCTGCTTGCACTTGTGCCGGATGAAGCGGGGCCAGTAGATGAGGTTCTCGTCGATCTCCTCCAGAGCCTTCTCGTAGTTCTTGCTCAGCAGCACCTGAGGGACAGGGGAAGGGCTGGTGACAGAGCATGACACAGCAGGGACCTTCGGGAGGGGCTGCACCGCTCCCACGGTCAGGGAACCGTTAAGGAAAAGCCCTCCAAGGTGGATCCCACCCTGTCCCCAGCACTGAGTGCCACCTCCAGGGATGGGCACCCCCAACCTCCCTGGGCAGTTCCATGGCCTGACCACCCTTTCCATGGAGAAATTCCTGCTGCTGTCCACCCCCGAGCCTCCCCTGGCCCAGCTGGGGGCTGTTCCCTCGCCTCGCTGCCCTCCGTGGGGACAGAGAGCCGCTGTCACTGTCCCCGAGCTCACCCGCTCCCAGAGGCGCCGGGGAAACGCTGCCCGCTCGATCGTCTTCATGTAGAGATAACAGCGACCTGGGGACAGGGAACAAAGCCCTGAGCCCCTCCCCAGAGCTGCCCTCGGGCACTGCCACCCTCCCCTCCCTGCCCACGGGCTCCATCCCAAAACCATCCAGGCTGGAAAAGACTGCCCAGATCAAATCCAGCCTTTGATGCACACCTTGATCCCAGCCCAGGGCACCGAGTGCCACATCCAGGCATCGACTGCCATGACACCTCCAGGGATGGGGGCTCCAAACGCCCTTTCCAGGAAGGAATTCCCACCTTTCTCCTCGCGGACAGTGGCGTACTGGCTGTTGGCCAGCGGGCAGGAGGAGCGGTTGCACAGCCCCGTCAGGTTGTACTCGTTCCGGCAGAAATTCTGCGTTTTGGTGCTGGAAAAAAGGGGACAGGGAATTAACGAGGGAAGGGCAGGAAGACCCCACTGCTCCCGCAGCTCAGCCCATCCTCTGTGACTCTCACAGGCGGCCGTGGTGGCACAGAGGTGGCACTCTGGGGTTTGGGGGGTACCCGAGATGTGCCCCCCCTCCTTTCCCTGCTGGATCTCCCCAGAGCCCCCCCAAACTCACGTCATTTTGTAGGAGCAGAACTGCCTGTTCCCCAGCATGCTCCAGACAACCTGCGGGACAAACAGCGGGTGTCACACCGGGACAGCCCTCACCCGGCCCCGGCAGCCTCGCGGGGCTCTGAGGGGGACACCCCGCAAACATCGGGCTTCCCTCGGTGCTCCCCGGGCAGGGAGAGCGCGATGCCGCAACGAGCGCAGGCACAGCACATCGGCTGCTGCCAAGTCCCCGTTCACACCCCCCGGCCCTTCTGTCCCCCTCGAGCCGCAGCCGCGCTGGGGACACGGCACCCCCGGCCACGTGGGGCGGGCGCACGGCCGGGGCGGGCGTTTGACACGGGGCCCAAAGAACGGTCGGACTCACATCGTCCGAGTGCATGGTGGCGGTGACAGAGGTGGCGGCGGTGACAGAGAAGACAGTGACGGTGGCGGCGGTGACAGCGGTGACTGCGGGTCCCGGCCGCGCGGTCTAGGGCGCCGCCATTACAGGAAGGGGCGGGGCGCGCGAAGTCTCGCGAGAGGGGCCCTGAGGGCGGGAAAAGGGCGGGAAGGAGGGCGGGAAAAGGGCGGGAAGGAGGGCGGGCCGTACTGTCATGGCGGCGGGGCCGCGCCCCCTCAGGGCGGTGATGAAACCAACCCTTACTCCAACAGACCCTGAGGGCCCCCGAGCGATGTGTTTGGAACAGGTTAATTCTGTACTCTGGAGCCGTGGGGGAAACCGCAGATTCTCTGCCTGATTTTTTCCTCAGAGCTTCTGAGACCCCCGTGTGCAGCACCGCATTAAGTACAGCGATCTAACTGGCTTTGTTGGCTAATTCTAAACCGTATTCCCAGCTCAGTTTCTTGAGAGGTCTTCAAACCAATAAATGAATTTAATGCATGTTGGGAAGGACGCACGAGCAGCTCCGAGTAGCACAGACATAGCACAATACATCAGACTATAGCAAGACACAAATGAAGGGTTTTTAGTGTCCTCAGAGGAGCGGTGACATTGCAGTGCCATCTTCACTGCCACCTGATTCCACCGTTACATCCCACAGCGGCTTCACTAAATGGATGGCTGGAGCAGAGGTTGGAAATTCAGCCTGACACGGCTAAATTGGCCACATCCACGCTCTGTAAGCAGAATATTGACTCCAAAGCAGGGAATGCATTCCTTGCCCTGGTTATTCCACGTTTTCTGCCTCCGCCGGCGGGAATTCCCGCTGGGCTTCCTTGGGGGCGCAGCTTCGGGGCTGCATGGGGCACTCCTGCCTCAGGATGGCCTGGGTGAAGCAGAGCAGAAATGGTGCTTTAGTACAAATAACCATTCCCTTGAACAGTTAACAGGAGCATTATCACAGCGGGAAAAGCCAAAGCAGACTTTTCCCGTGAGTGCAGGGAAGGACCCTCTAAACTTTCCTCCTTTTATCTGAGTTTTTTTGGTCGGTGCTTGCGGGCGGCATAGAGCCCAACACGGAACGCTCCACCCCTGGCAAATTTATTCCCAATTCCCTCAAATCCCTGGGATGTAAAACTCCAGGAAAGCGCCCCTGACTGACCATCTTCTCCTCGGTGGCCGGGGGGCTGCGCAGGAGCCAGCAGAGCGGGGCGTAGGCCACGTTCAGCACCCCAACGATGACCATCAGCCAGGGGAAGCCCAGGGCTCGCACAATCGCCCCGCCCGTGGAGGGACCTGCAAACCCAAACCTCAGAAAGGGACAAAACGCCGGGGGAGATACACCCTGAGTAGCTACACTGCGAGTAAAGCCCTCCTACCGACGGCAAAGCCCATGCAGAAGGCCACGTCGGCGATGGCGTAGACGGTGCCGTAGGCTGAGGTGTGGCGCAGGTCCACCAGGTAGCCCATGATGGGCATCATGGAGGAGTCCACCATTCCTGCCCGGGGCACGAGGGGCTCCTCAGTCCCCGCGGCCCCCGGGGAGCTGCCCGGGAGCAGCCACAGCACCCCCGGCTTACCTATGGCAAAGCCCAGGCCGGCGTTGGGGCCGATCAGCCCGTAAATGTTGGTGGCCATGGGGACCTGGGAGAGGAGAGAGAGGAGGTGAGAGGCTGTGGGAGGTGGGAAGGTGGGACACAGGGCATGGAATCATGGAATCATGGAATGGGTTGGATGAAAGGGACCTTAAAGCTCTTTCTGTCCCACCCCGTGCCATGGGCAGGGGCACTTTCCACTATCCCAGGGTGCTCCAACCTGGCCTTGGGCACTCCCAGGGATCCAGGGGCAGCCACAGCTTCTCTGGGAATTCCATCCCAGCCTCTCCCCTCCCTCACAGGAAGGAATATCTTCCCAATATCCCACCCAACCCTGCCCTCTGTCACCCATTTCCCCTTGTTCTGTCCTTCCATCCCCTGTAAATCCTCTCTCCCCATTTTCCCTGCAGGCTCCCTTCAAGTCCTGCACCTGAAGCCAGAATTCGGTCACCCCGCAGCCTTTTCCAGGCTGAACAATCCCAAATCTCTCAGCCTTAAGATCTGGAGACCTTTCCTAGATCTGCAAAACCCACCCAGAGGTGCAGCCCCTGAGCATTTGCTGTGGCAGGACCGCGAAAATCCCTGCGGAGACTCCTCGGATTCCCCAGCGCTACTCACACAGAGGAGGCTGATTCCCACCACAGCCATTCCAATCATGGAGCACAGCCACCTGCAACGTGAGAACAGCGCAGGAGCTCTCAGCCTCGAGCAGAACGTGCTGAAATTTGGGCTGATATCTTTAATATCCCCCTTACCTGCCCATCCTGTTAGCCAGAATCCCAAAGAGGTTGGTACCAATGAGGTAGGAGACGCTGGCAGGCAGGAACGCCATCCCTGAGAGACAGAAATGATTGAAAAGTGTCTTGTGCCCAAGAAAATACAGATTTGCACAGATTTTCGCTCCCCAACTGCCTCATTTGGAGAATATCATGAGCCAGGCCAGGCACGTGAACATCTCCTGTCACAGTTTCTCCCTGTTCCACCTTTCCACCTTTTCCCTCACTAAATAAAGAGGAATAAAGGTAAAAAGCTTGGGGATCATTATGTAGCTCACAATTAAATATTTGCTCTCCCTGCTGCTGTACCAGTTGTTTATTTTTCATATCCTCTCCTGCTGACAATAAATAAAAGTGATCAGCTCCATTTTCCCGGGACACCTTCCTTATTGGAACACGCTGATTTGTGTTTAATTTCCTCTCCTCTAACAGCTGCAGCACGTGGTTAATCCTGCAGGTTTAGCCCAAGCTCTTCTGGGTTCTTTTCCCCACAATTATGGGAGAAGGAGACAGGATAAAGAAGCCCCTTGAGTTTAGAACAGCTCGTGAGAGGGGGTGGGTTCGTGTCGAACTCTGAACCCAAACTGCTCTCAGATCTCAGGTCCCTGAACATCTTAGGGAATATATTTGGGATTTTCTTCTGTTAAGTCACCTTGAAGCTTCTCTGGTGGTGACAGGGGAGCTCTGAGTGCTTTTTCCCTGGGTTCTGTCCCTTCTCCCACTGCCAGGATCCCTGGGTGCCGCTTTCCCCTGGCCCTTCCTTGCTCTGGAGAAGCTTTTAGTGCCTGGCTGTCGCTGAGGATAACTCAATCAGGAGCAGTTCCAGCCCCCTGCTTGCAGCCTGCAATCCAATTTGGGATCTAAGTGCAGCCCAGGGCACCCCCCGGGTCATTCCTGCGCCACTTGGGTTTTATCACCATTCCTGGCTGTTTCTGCAGCAAACACAGGCGCTTGTTATCTCCACATCCCATTTTCCGGGCAGCTGGCAATCAGCAGAGCCCATCCTGCCCTGCCTGGGGTGCTGGGAACGGCGTCATCTCACTCGGAGCTGCCTCTGCAGAGCCCATCTGGCCTCCCCAATCCCAGCCCAGCACGAGCCCATTCCCTGCCCTGCAGAAGATGGGCTCCCAGGGCACCCCGCTGCCTCCCTGCCCCGTTACTGCTCTGCTGGCCAGCAAATTCCACACAATTTTATCAATAACAGAGCAGAGCAGCCACCACTGAGGACATTTCCAGCTGGAATTGGAGCCGTGCCCAGCCTGGGATCGCTCGCTGCACAGGCAGGAGGGCAGATGTTTCTTTTTG